TATGTTTGGGAGCGCCAATGAGTATTTCGAAATGAGTGCTGGTGGCTGGTTTGGTTGCGCCTTTTTAGCTAGGGGTCACTTCTTCCGTAGTTTACATGTTTCGTTGTACACCTTCTTGCTGGTCGTTTCTTTACACTATTGTTTCCTTCAGGTTGCTTGAGTGGTGAACGTTGTCACCATCGTCGTTAGAGATCCTTTTTACACACCTCGCCTGTCCTACAGATATTCCTAGTTTGCAGTGTCGCGGGCAATGACAAGTCTAAGATAGGTGTTGTTGAATTTCTGTTGGTTTTATGCAAAGCTTCGTATTTAATTAATCTGTTTCAATAGACACCATGGTGTAAGTTAATTTCACTGTAAGAATGATGTATACGGTAAAACAATAATAGAGTGATACCTGTTACAGTCATCAATGATTCGCAAGGTCAAGAATATTCTGACTTGTGTTCTCTTTTTTTCTCATCGCAACATGTCCTTCAGCCTACTCGCATAACTAATGAGAGTGCAAATACACTAGACTTTATTCTTTCTACTCAATTTGATGTTTTTTTCTGATTTATTTTATTTACCTGGATTAAGTGATCATTTGGCTATTTCATTTGATCTTTCTATCCCCACTAAGAAAAAAATAAAACTGACAAAGCGCATTATGAATTCTAAAAGAGCTAATTTCGATTAAATTAGCGCCGAGATGATCCATTATTTCGATTTTTTATAATTGCTTTCAAAAAGCGAAGAGTAATGTAAAATTGTAACCTTTTTCTGAGTAAAATTGGTGAACTAACGGAGAAGTATATTGTCTTGCGTAATATTTCATGTCGTTCTGGATCGCAATGGTACACTAACCGTCTAAAAAGATTGTCTAATAAAAAAGCGACTCTATCACCTTGCAAAGAATTCGTCATCAAGCACCCGCTAGAATAACTATGAAGCAGCAAGCATTGCCTACGTAACAGCCCTCAAACAAGCGAAAGCTCACTTCCAGCAACATATTTTACCATCCATGTTAACCGACAACCCAAGAAAGTTTTGGCGTGTCATTAATCCTAACCGTAACAGCATGTTGCATCTAATTGATAATAATGGCATCCTTATTGCCGAGTCTCATTGCGACGAAATATTAAACTACGTCATCTTCAACAGCTTCACAAGGTACACTAACGTGACACCTACTTCTCAACCCGGTTACAACTACTCAACAATGAATCATATTATCATTTCGCCCTGTGGTATCTCTAAACTTATTGATTCATTAAAGACATCGTCAAGCCCTGGCTCTGGCTCAGCTACTCCCAAATTTTTAAAAAAGCACCAGTGCCATTTTGTCATTGTTTCTTGCACAAATTTTTCAGCTATCCATCAATAACGGTGTTCTCCCGCAGGACTTGCAGGTCGGGAAGGTGGTTCTGATACACAAGTCAGGTAGTAAAGTTCACCCTGAAACTACCACCCCATATTATTAACCAGTATTCCTTGCAAATTATTAGAGCAAATTATTCACACTAACCTCGCCTCATTTTTGAAAACACACCTTTCTTTTCAGATGCGCAACATGGTTTCCTCAAAAATCGATCTTGCGAAACACAACTGGCATCCTTCATTCACCAACTTCATGTTACTTTAGATCGTAGGTGACTAACTGATTCTATTTTTCCCGACTTCTCTAAGGCTTTCGACAAAGTGAGTCATTAATAACTGCTCGTAAAGCTCAAACAACTAAACCTTGACAATAACGTCATCAGATGGATAGAACATTTCCTACTTAACCGCACGCAGTTTGTAACTGCCAACGGGTGTTATTCTTCATCTCGTGCTGTTCTCTCGGGAGTACCAGAGGGTTCCGTCTTAGAAACCCTTTCATTTCTAGCTTACATTATTACTTTGACTTTATGTGTTTCTTCTAACATAAATCTGTTTGCAGATAACTTCATTGTGTTCCGGGAAATTAATAGCCTAAATGACGTCACTGCCCTTCAACACGACATTGACTCCATCTTTAACTGGTGCACGACTTACGACTTGGCAAATGGAACTAAATATTTCCAAATGCAAGGTATTGCGCATTTCCCGAATATCTTCTCCTGCTACTTACTCACTTAACCGCATCCCACTCGAATCAGTCACCTCTTACCGTTATCTAGGCGTACACATCACCACTTGTTTATGCTGGTCACTCCGCATCCACCCCATTATCAACAACGCAAACCGCATGCTTGGGTACAATCATCGCAACTTCTATTCTGCACCTGTCTTACCTACACTACTAATGTACAAGACGCTGATTCGTAGCAAGATGAAATACGCCACTGTGGTATGGGATCCGAGTTCAATTAATTTGATCAATGCTCTTGAACTAATCCAAAACAATTCTGTTCGCTTCATTTGTTACAACTACAGTAATCACGCTAGCATTTCTGCCATGAAATATTCACTCGAACAGCCGTCTCTTTCTTCTCGTCGTACGCTCTTCCGCTTATGTCTATTTCACATAATTTATCATCATATTCCAACTCTTCGCAAGGCACTTATTTTTCAGCCTTCTTACGTATCATCTAGAATTGATCATCCTAATAATATTGGTGTTATGTCATATCTAACCCAAAAAAACGCAGCGATTGATTTGAATAGACAGGAACCACCTTTTCGGATCTGTGGCCACCTTGACCGATCATCACGTGTTTCTTTCTGCGCTAACTAGCATTGTATAAACACCCACACTTCTATACTTACTTGTTCTGTTTGTGCACAATGCTTATATTTTGTTCTCTTTTATTTTTAATTTATTTTTATGATTGGCTAACAAGTTATGAGTGAAAAATTGTGTTTCACCCCCCCCCCCCCTTCATAATTCTTTTGGCCCTCAGGGTATTACGAATTAAAATAAAATATTAAAAAATCGTTTTGGACTCACACCTCGTCGTTGTCGATGGTATTTCTGCTGCCGACGCTCACGTTCGGCGTCCCTGGCTCGCGCCTCGTCAATGTTACGGGCGCGACGTCGCCATTTGCGAAGGCGATCAGCTCTGCTAACCCTCGAAACGCCGGTGACAGCCAGGTTAGGTCGAATCACTTCGGCGCATATTTCGGTGGGCGAAGGGGCTTCGCTTTCCGGCGTCCTCACCATCGCAGATTACCGTGCCGAAAGAATGTTCACTTGATCTGCGCTCGAACGTTGCGAGCGCTGTAGAGGGTGAAGCGAGAGAAAGGTGACACATGGCGAGCGCGCAGCAGGCGAGAGACAAAGTGACGTCACCGTGCACTGCGAGGGAAGGCGTGACCCATCATGAACTTGTTAACAGCACAACACTAGAAACACAGGACAGGCAAGGAGCAAAAGGGAAAGAAAAGGCGGCGCTGCTCTTTTTTTGCTCCTTCCCTGTCCTGTGTTTCTAGTGTTGATTGATTGATTTGTGGGGTTTAACATCCCAAAACCATGATCTGATTATGAGAGACGCCGTAGTGGAGGGCTCGAGAAATTTTGACCACCTGGGGTTCTTTAACGTGCACCCAAATCTGAGCACACGGGCCTACAACATTTCCGCCTTCATCGGAAATGCAGCCGCCGAAGCCAAGATTCGATCCCGCGACCTGCGGGTCAGCAGCCGAGTACCTTAGCCACTAGACCACCACGGCGGGGCTGTGTTTCTAGTTTTGTGCTGTAAACAAGTTCATGATGGATCCCAAACAAGTGGCCCAACTTACCTTCTTACTGCAAGGTTGGCACCGGCCCGAAACATGCGGCGAGTGAAGTGAGGTGTGGCGCGTTGGCATGGAGACACGGACGGACAACGTTACACAGGTTAGTCAAAGAGCTGCTTCGCATCTAATATCTCATCTAGGTAGCGCTATGGATAGAATACTTGACTGCAGATCATTTCAACAGCTTCTAGTCTAACTTTCTCATAAATGTAATGGCGTATAATGGCAAAAGACGCTAGGTGAGGTCATGTTATATTAGATAAATGACTGTATAAAATTTTCATGGCTACTTAGTAGGCGCATTGTTTTTAGCTGATATAAGAATGAATGTGATTTTCGCGATAAGTGCGGAAACTTTCTGAATCTTCGAAAGAAAGTAGAAGCGACCTGCTTGCTTGTATTTGGGCATGAGGATCTGGTGCTCGGAGGGTGTATATAATTTCCTGATTACAAACTGTCATATGATGTGTTGTATTCTATGAATATATTCTTGTGCTGGGTGCAACACTAAGTTTAAATAGCGGATGTCACTGCTGAGTTCTCTGATAGCTTCGTTTTTTTTGTGATTTTTGTAGGCCAGATTACTGAAACTACCATCCACATCTGCAGGTTTAATACAATGTGCTTTCTGTGAGTCGTTTTAAGACATTATGTTCTGGATAAGTCCAGCTCTTTGGCACTGCAATCTCTTCTTCAGTTCTTGCTTCTATTTTTGTGCTGTTTTTATATCCCAAGCATGAACCAGACATTAGCCCAACTTTCACTTTTAGGGGCGTCATAATATTCATATGCAGGCGAACTAATCTTGTCATACTAAAAAAATCTGTAAACAGGGGTTGTGTCGAGCCTGGGTTCAACACAATCTTTTATTACAGATTTTTTTTATTGCAAGCTTCCATGTTCCTTTTCCTGCCGTTTTTTATAGTTAAGTTATTTACAACTTGTAGCTCCAAGACCATGCGAGGAGAGGGAAAAGTATTACACTCTTATTTTCATGCATATGCTTCTTTAAGATGTTATCTACTGTTCATCAATAAAAGCCCCAGTAATGTTAGCGGTTTTTCTATATTTGTCTGCAACTTTGCGATAAAACTAATGTTTATTTTTGGCTGCTTTCAGCTCCCGTTCTAGAAACTTACTTCTAGAAAATTACCAAGCCACAGTAAAATCTGCGCAAGACCATGTGCTCCCATACTCATTTACAATGATAGACAATGGTCGAAACGGCGATGTTGTGACAATTTTAACATCGCAGAGCGATCACTAATGACATGAGCAGTGGGCGAAATGAAGACAGGTAATTAAACACCAAACTTTTATTCGAAAGAAAACACCATAGAACTAAGTTAACAATGAGGTTGAAGTTTGGACTGCGTCTCAAAATTTGTAATTTTGCGCAATTTGGTAAACGACAAAAACCTAAACACAGTGTCACTGCTATATAAAACACCCCATATCTAATTTTATTCTGTGAGATTTATATACTAGTGACATCACAAAGCTATTACCGAAGCAGCTCCAATATATTCGTTTATTTTCACGACGTTATTGAGCACTACAACAGCTGTTCCAAAGAGTGAATCGTTGCCTCGTTTGGAACGCATCTGACGTTGCACTCTCATGTCTCGTATCAATTCATGACAGACAGCTTGCATAGTTCTTACTGTTCTCTTTTGTAAGCAGTACAAAGTATTTTATGACACATGAAAAAAATCAGCGTCCGCGTCAGCCATCACATGTCACCATATTATAGCACAACCTTGTATTGTCACATGCAAGAGTTCCATATAGGCCTCTCGTTAATGTCCACTCAAAGAAGAAAAAAAAAGAAGACGCACGGGCGACAAGTTGACACGCTTCTCCCAATGCTGCAGAGGACATCTCGCCTGGAAACATGAGAAGATTCAGCCACTTTGCAGTCTATAGAAGAGACTGACAAGGTTGGTAAACCTCGAGGACGCGCAGTCTGGCATGAGCAAGAATAACTCTTGCAGTACCGAATGTTGGGAGCACCTAAACGATTTAATGAAACCTTGCTTGGTGGAAAGCACTGCATGAGTGTATTTATAATGGTGCTAATGATCACAGCAGTTACTGCAGACGAGAAGCCTCGATCACTGGTCCCTGAATAGCCATCTATTCCATGGCTCTTAACTGGTCTTCACCTGCAACTGGCGACTTGGGTGTTAATGTGCGTCTCCTGTGCTCTGTCGAGGCACCCACCACGTGAGTGTTTTTGCTGAGGGCGTTGTGCAGCGGGCTCCCGAAATGTTCAAATCCCTGAAAGCCCAAAACGGGCCCACCTGCGTCTTCATCGTACGAATAGGCTTGGTAGCCACTACTAGGACCCTGCACATAGTAAGGCATATGGCTAGAGCTGGCCTGGTTATCAGCGTAGACTCCGCCACGGATTAGCTGAAAGTTTCCACTGCCCAGAGAGTCGTAGCCGGCAGAAAATGCGCTCGTGGTCGAGCGTCCATAGTCAAAGCCACCACCATAGGCTTGCTTGGAGTTTTGTTGTCGGCTGGGGCTGGCGTAGCTTGAGAAGCCAGTCGGAAAAGGTGTGGACGAGCCGCCATCTAGAAAAGCTGAGTAGGCAAGCTCCTGGCCGCCTCCGAACGGGCCCGCTATGGGTATGAAGCCCGTGGCTGCAGCTGTCGTGCTCGATGGCGCCAGAGTTTTCGTAGCGGCCCGGCGTACACGTGAACGGGCTGCAACGGAGACACGACCATCGTGGTTGCCAGCTTTCCAGGCAGAGCCATCCTTGTCAGCATGTTGATAACCGTCCATACCACGCCAGTGAGTGGTCGATAGGGGTGGCTCTACCTCTCTCAAGGCACGTGGAATCCAGAGAGTTCCCGCTGCCGCCGTATTTCTCTGCGATGTAACAATAGCTGGTCGCCTGTGGGCATATACGAGGCCCTGCTGACCACGAGGCGCTCTACCACCAAGCTCTTCTTCGGTAGACTCTCTCGACGACTCCACAGACCCGTCGGGAACCTCGACAGATTCCTGCTCGGGGGCGACTCGCCGACGCTCCTCAGAAAGTTCCTGTGATGCCAGGACCAAATGCTTCGGCACAAGAACTGCAACGTATGAGGTCAGGCGAGGGTAACGGGAACGTGGCTCCCCTGCGATAGAAAAACTCTATGTCATTGACACGTATCAACGCACTGACCATACTTTTTTTATAGTTTTTGGGCCTAAAAAGATTGCCCACTATTAAATCTCGGCTGAGCTGTTGTGTTTCAGCCTGAGCTGACGCGCATTCGTGCCGTAGCATCAAAGTTTGTGGAACACGTAATTTTATGTAGATGCACCCTATAAGGCTCCCCTCTCCTGCGTGCTAGGTAGGGTAAAGAGCTAGTTTTAGGGTAACGCGCTCTACAAAAACACCATGCTGAAGTCCTACTAGGCATTTCTTTGAACCGAAGGAAGCTCATAGAGTCAAAATATTAAACTTTGCAGAAAAAATAAACTCGGAATGGTTTACCAGCGCTACTTATTTGGAGAATATGTACAGTGAGCACAAACTGCACGAGGTCACTGCGATGGGGTATCAAAAACAAGCTTCTTGTGCGAGAAACAGACAATCCCTGAAAGCGACGATAGTTATAGCGCGAGAACATAACGGCGACACAGAGACAAGAAGGACACGGAGGACACACTGCTGAAGGCGAACTGTGTGTCATACACTGTTGCATTGTTCAGTGTGTAAATAAAATGGAGATACAAGAATGAAGCGCCAATAAGCAATCGCGCGTCCGCAGCTCTACACAAGTAACCATTGTTCTATGCACGCTATCAAAGCTTTCGGGTATATTTTTTTAACTTTAAGGATACTGGCGGCCACGGTAACTTATGCGCACTCTCAGCGAAATTTATTTTTGTTTGTAAGTTATTCGATGTTTCCTTATGACTCTTTATTTATTTATTTATTTATTTATTTATTTATTTATTTATTTATTTATTTATTTCAGCCCCGCCGCGGTGGTCTAGTGGCTAAGGTACTCGGCTGCTGACCCGCAGGTCACGGGTTCGATTCCCGGCTGCGGCGGCTGCATTTCCGATGGAGGCGGAAATGTTGTAGGCCCGTGTACTCAGATTTGGGTGCACGTTAAAGAACCCCAGGTGGTCAAAATTTCCGGAGCCCTCCACTACGGCGTCTCTCATAATCAAATGGTGGTTTTGGGACGTTAAACCCCACAAATCAATCAATCATTATTTATTTCAACATACTCCGCTTTGAAAAGCCATCGCAGACATGGAGGCAGAATACAAAAATTGCAATACAACGCAAAATGTACAGGACACGAAGATGACTGAATAATAATGTGCAAATTGAATTAATGATGTGTAAAGGTTTAATATAGGTGGGCAAAGCATTCTATATATGAATAAGGTGGACATAAAAGCTGTTGGCTTGATAAGTGTGATGTATAGTTGCTAAGTAAAAAAAGTCATGGGCAGTGCATGAGTGTAAAATAGATTGGGGAAATCTTACGCTTCGTCTTTAAGCGTTGAACGCTAAAGCCATATTTCCTACAGTGCTTCCAACCCCTAAAATATGAAATTTTTTCGCACTTGCTATGCACCCATTACGTAGGCTTAAGGGTGCAGTCACGTGTCTGCCTTTTGCAATAGGTTACTGGCTTTAAAGATGAAGTAATTATTATAATCCCATGTTATGACACCCGATCGATGGAAGTATACGCTTGTACCACGCCTTATTACGGTAATATGTCGTATTGTGAAGCATGTACACAAGATGCTTGTGTTTGTAAAGCATGAAAGTTACTTTCACTGCATTCAAAAGCAGAGGCGTGGCTGTGTGGTAAAACACCCACCTGCCTCGCAAACGACCCGGGTTGGATCCCCACTCAGACCCAGAATTTATTAAAGCGACAGCGTTAGAAAGCTCGTGTCACAGATATTCCGCTGTCGGCGTCGTAATCGTTGGTTGTGAGCGAAAATCAAGAAAGAAGCAAACAAAATAAAGAATAAAATTTTCAATGCTATTGACGATCGAACCAGGGCCGTTCGCGTGACAAGCAGGTGTCCTACCACAAAGCCACGATGTTACTTGCAGATGCTTTGGAAAAAAACACTACATAAATGCCATGTAGTCGAAGGAGTCTCCTTAACGCATTTTGTTCGACAGGCGTCACGACGAAAACGAGCCCATCCGGTGATATGTAGGCGCATTTTGGGAGGCCAACAAACTGCGCCGAAAAAGGCAGAGATAGTGCAGCCATCGCCAATAAAAACATACAGGAACGTTCAAACAGCTCTAAAAATGGACATATATGTCCATCTAGCGGCTATCGCAATCAACCCCCAAAGGCGAAGCTTACGCGTTCCCCAATTTTTAGTTATTTTATTTGCGCCTTTCTCAATTTGGCAGCCACGCAGAGATCATTTTTTGCTCACAACCAACGACGCCGATGCCGGAATTTTCGCGAAACGAGCTTTTTAGTACCATCACTGTAAAACGTTAATGATTCACTAATTCCCTACGAGAGTTGGTCCATCGGTACAACGCGATAATACACCGGACTTAGTATTTACCCGTAACGTCACAGGGTGCACCTGGACCAAGGGGAACCTGGGCAGCGATCACTACATCATACGTACTGAACTACCCAACGCATCAGCCCCACCCCGTACGTTACCGCTAACGGACTAGGATTCATTCCACACCCTCCGCAAAAACAACACAAAAGAACACAACAAATTCACTGAAATACTGACCTCACTTCAGGAAGACATAGCCAAAATAATGAAAACCATACAAGCGGAATTCGAGATGCCGAGAATGGACCCACACCTCGCACATTTGCTCGAGGCAAAAGCGCTAATAATATCGTGCTGGAAAACACTAGTTCTAAACAGATGCTTACGAAAGTGCGTGTCAGTACTAAACCAAGACATCGCGAAATATTGCGCGGAGCTCACACGACTCCAATGGCACGAACTCTACTCTGCCGATTCACAGCCGCGTGCAAACGAGGGATAAATAGAGCCTCCTAATATATATGCTCAACGACCGCCTAATAAAATACAACCAGAGCCATGCCATAGACAGTCTCCTACACGCGCAAAAAAAAAAAAAAGACGGGAGGAACGGAATCATCTTTTCTTGAAGAAATCGGCGACCGACACCTCCCCCCTTAAGACTGCACAACCCAACGACTACCCACAAATAGAGTGTGAAACAATACCCAAACTCAACGATCCTTTCACTTAGTCTGAAATTCGGGAAGCATTACACAACCTCAACAGTCGGTCCGCCCCTAGTCCTGACAAGGTAACCAACCGACTGTTGCGAAGTTTAGACAACCAAGTGATCACAATACTCACAAAAGACATCAACCACATGTGAGAAACCGGCTAAGTACCTGAACAATGGCGCACGGCCATGGTGATGCTTCTCTCAAAGTTAGGCATACCACTCAACTTCGACAATCTGCACCTTATCTCTCTAACCTCATATATAGGAAAACCAGCTGAACATGTCATTTTAAATCTTGTATCGCGTTACGTAGAGGATCACAAACTTTTTCCATTCAACATGGTCGGGTTCCGTCCGTACCTATCAACCCAAGACGTCATGCTATTACTAAGGAAACAGATCTTCGATTCAAAAACAAGAAATATCCGTCGCATCTTTGCCCTGAACCTCACCAATGCATTCGACAGCGTCTCCCATCACTTTGTACTGGAATTCCTTGCCCGCCTTGGTCTCGGTAAAAGATTCCAGATATCCATTTGTTCTGTCCTACAAGAACGAAAAGCCCAGCTACGAATATCGCAACTTACATCCGACACTTACACAATAGGTTCCAACGGGACACCACAAGGGGCAGGCATTTCTCCACTCCTTTTTAACATAGTAACGAAGGGACTGTCTGACAACTCCATGATATCCCTAACATAAAAGCCACGCTATATACGCAGATGACATCACCATCTGGTGCCCGGGAGGCTCTTTGGCGGTGTTAAAGGAGGCCCTTCAAACCACTCTCGATACCACAGAAGCCTATACCTAAAAAAACACTACAGGACTGCGACTGTCGCCCATGAAATCAAATTTGCTACTGTATCAGTATACGCGCCAAGACGTCCGTACTTTAAAGCCCTTATGTGAGCTGCCCTTAGCGCTACACGCCAAAGACGGGCAACGAACACTTCGCGTAGACTCCATACGCATTCTCGGCCTCCTACACTGTAAATGAAAATAAGCCGAGATGGGAGTGAATGACTTGTCCTCTAGCGCATGCCCCGATGGGGGTTTGATAAACTCTGTCCGGAGGGAGTAAAAAATTTACTCCCCAACAGGCCGGGGTTTTAGGAAGGATTTCCGGGAGGTATTATTTACCTCCATCGGGGAACTTTTTCACGTCAGTATGGGAGTATTTATTTACCTTCATCGGGGAGATTCTTTAGCTCTGATTGAGATTGCTTTTGCCAGTCGAGGCCAGTTTGGTCACGTGGCAGTAATTAGAAACATAAACCGCCATTTAGCAACGAGAAAAACAAAATACCGCTAGGAGCAAGCAGCGTGGCAACGCGAACCAACAGTAGACCACTAAACCAGCAGCAAAAAAAAAAATGCGTCTGTCTAATGAAGGTGATAGTATTATGGCAGCGCCACCTCGCCTCCTCCCGGTATTGTAGTTCAGTACGCCACTGCTATCATTATTTTGATACAGCAGCCAAAGGTACAGTTTCCGTTATCTAAAGGGGTGGGTGTTCTCGTGTGAAGCCCACTGAATCTCCTGCGCCCGCTGCTGCACCTATCCCCAATGGCCCCGAAGCTTTCCACCAGAGCAGCAGCGCAGCGTTGTCGTCGCTCTCCGCACTTGAGCTTTTGGGCTAAAAGACACGCGCTGACGCGCTGCAACGGGTACGTGTGGTCAGGCGTTCACCGGCGCGGACGTCAGCTTCGCTTGGCGTCCCCATAGCGTCTGCTTCGCGAGGACGCTATGCGGACGCCGAGCAGTTGACGCGACGTGGATGACTAGCAGCGTTTCAGAAGGCCACGGTAGGAGGGTGGCCATAGTAGGGAGACTGCACCATCAACATCCATGGTATTGTGGCGCCATCGAGTCTTGAATGAACAAACCAGCTG